TGTTTTACATAATCTATTCTCAACTTCTTATCCGTTTCTCCATTTTCGGGAGTGGAAAAACCGGTTTTCACCGCTTTTCATGTTGATATGAAAAATTTTGATATAGAAAAAATGCTTCAATTAAGTTCTTGTATTTCTGCCAATATACAAAATGTTCGTCTGAATCTGCAGTTTCTGGAATGGATATTCATTTGACCCAACCCCGATGCGAAACAAAAATATCGAAGATGGCGTCAAAGATGGCCGCCAAATCCCTAAATATTATAGTATATTTGCGTTGGCTAATTTCTTTTCTAAGTTTTGTAAATCAATTGAAATTTAACACGATATTACTTATTTTTCAGCTAACTCATGCTGTAAATTCTGTCTTTTTTGCATTTTTTTCTAGTTTTTATTGACTTATTTTAACGACAAAAGAAAAAAATATATTGCAAACTGGGTGACCTTTTCTTAATATGTGTAACTTATTATTTTATGTTTGTTTAAACTGAATAACATTCATGCCCTGCACGTGTGTCTAAATGTTGAAATATCTCTGTTAATATTTTTATGTTTTTTATGCACAGAATAAGGAACTTATTTACTGTCCTGCAATTTGGTATTCGTGTTGACCTTGTGCTAGCACTTGGTTAAGGATTTGTTTGCAAGTTTGTTTCTCCTTAGCCATAAAACATTCATTGTTGGACTTCAAATGTGATTTTTGATTCACTGTTCAAGACCCATAACCTAAGAATTGATTTGGAAATAATTATATCCCTTTATTTACTTAAAGAATTTCTCGGGACAAGATTTATCTCCACAACCATTGAGGTAATGCACTTGAAACTAAACACATCTTTTGAGATCATTCTTGTAGGTTTCCTCCCTCTAACATGTTTTTTTTTCCAAAGAATTATACTACTTTTTGAATAAGAGAATTCCTTTATTATGCAGGCTGTTTATTTTGAATATTTTAGCGTGCTGTCCGACATGCAGCTCTTGTTTTAAGGCGTTGCATTTACGTATGATAATTTACAATTGAATCTTATTTGGAGTTTTGTCATTATTGATGACGGATATAATATATACATTAAAATGTAGAATATGTATTTGCTAGAACATTTGAAATGTGTAGGTAATTCATTTTACAGTAAGAGACTTTCCTGCTAGCCTGGGTCTGAATTATGAATAAAACAGTTTATACATAGTGAGTGAATTGAAAGTATCTATTATGAGAGTTTCATTTTAGCTCGACTATTCGACTAAGGAGAACTATCCTAGTACCCTGAGCGTTGACGTCTGCGCAACCACTTACGTTAAAGTTTGCGTCACATCTCAAATACATGTATTTTTAAAGTCCATTGACATACTGTATGGCTTTGAAACTTGCACATTTGTTAATCATCATGCCCCCAACCTGAACACTGGGGAAGATAACTCTGTCAAGCATTTTGACAGAATTATGCCCATTTTTCAACTTTGAATTTACATTTAAGTTTGCGTACCACCTCAAATATTTTCAAAATTTCCATTGACATCTGAATTTGAAACTGTGTACACTTGTTCACAGTCATTCCCCCATTCTTCACATATGAGGAGGTAACTCTGTCAAGCATTTTGACAGAATTATGCCTCTTATTTGACTTAGAATTTACGTTAAAGTTTGCCACTTCCTAAATTTCAAAATTCCATCGACATATCGCTTTGAGACCTTGCACACTTTTTCATCATCATAATCTAAACCTGTGTACAGGAGGAGGTCACTGTATTAAGCATTTTTACCATCAAGCACTGACACTGAGAAAAGTCGAACATGCTGTCCCACTGACAGCTCTTGTATATGATTTTGAGCAAATTTATAACTTATTTCAGGTTTCTTGTTAAATTCATGGGAGGAATTAAGAAGAGCTTTCAAATGGACGACAATAGCTAAAACTTTCCCTGGCGGGTACTTAAAAGTAATACTATGTGCTAGGGGGAGGGGGCGGGCATAGACGGTAACTTACTTTTTTTGGCGTCGGTAGTTTTCACGTCGGATCACGAAGGTAAAAAAATCTGGAAACAAAGTGATCCCTCGGAAGCATTAATCACAACAAAATTACATAAGAATTGCAGACTCGGTTTGATTGAGTCTGTACATGAGGGATAATGAATAAGTGCAACATCCCTCACGCCCCTAGCACCAGTACTAGTTGCCTTCACTTTCGCAAGGAACTGAAACTTCTGTATATTCAAGAACAGAGGTACAGTGCGAATGACTGCAGAAGATTTCATGATCAATTACAACGAAAGTGACCTGCGCCGTCCGGGAATCGAACCCAGTTCGCCCGATTCACAGTCCAACGCTCTACCTATTGAGCTCATCGGACAACTTGGTCCATCAGAATCATTGATTGCAATGATAGTTGATGACTGGATACTACATAGCTGGTACTAAGAGATATGTGAGAGATGTTGCAAATAAATTACTTTGTGTCTCATGAATAGACCCAATTGAACAGAGTCTAAATTATCAATTTTGCCCTGTTTTCTTACTCTCAAAGGATCTTCTCTTTTCCTGAATTTTACAATCAAAATGCCAATGATATGTTAGTGGCACCTGATAGCTGAGTTACTTTTATATTGTTACTATATTATCAAGTTAAGCTACTTAAAAAATAAAATACATTTCATTTGACACAGAAAACGTGTGTAACATATAAATTAAACTTACGTAAATATTGTCATTCCATATAATCAGTATAATCAAGGGGTCAGATTTTCTCTAGATTTTTATTGGCATCAACTAAAAATAGTGGGTGGGGTACGATTTGAACAGTAATTCATTAAATAACCAGAAGCAAATGATCATATTCCTTGTTAATTATGTTAATATGTTACATAGACTGCACCAAAGAAGCTATAATTTGACAGAAACACAAAATAGGGGGAAATAATTGATAGAACAAATAAGTACGAGTTACAACTTTACATTGTAAAACTATTTTAATGTAGTGCCTCTCATTTTATATGTCTTACTGCTTAATAACAAACAAAGATTTCTTCAGATATGATATGAATACATTAAAGCATTACTCTCAGGAGTACATTACAATAGTGGAATAACAAAATAAGTAATAAATATTTTTCTGTTTAAGCATATACAAGAGTATTAAAGCAAGAACCTATACGTTTAGCATTATTTTGCATATTTATGTTTAAAAAGGCAAAAAAGCAATCTGTTTTCTCCAATAAAGTTAAGCCTGTTCGTATAAAACGCTTTAATTAAATGCCATCTTCCGTGCAAAATTTGACTTGAAATACAAAAGTGGAAACAAATGTATGATCCAACATTAATATTCTAGAATATTTAGGGATTTGGCGGCCATCTTTGACGCCATCTTGGATTTCTAAGATTCGCATCGGATTTGAGGCAAATGAATATCCATTCCAGAAACTACAGACCTAGACCAACAATTTGGTATATAAAACTTGCTGTTGGCTGACATAGACCACTTCGATGTCATTTTAAATTTATCCTATGGATTTGCAGCACTAAAAGTGAGTTAATCACGACACAATGTTAGCATAAATAATGTTGATAAAAGTGAAGGCGCGTGTCTTAAAGAGATTAATTCAAGAAAACGTATCCTTACGGATCGACAGAGACCGATCCTACGGCGACATTTGAAGCTACGTAGTGCGTGTCCTATCCTGTTACATGTACGACCTAATACCGGATATGACTCACATCATAACGGATATGAAAGTCATCTTCCTAATTTACTTATTTACTTTTATGCAATGTTTGTATTATTATTTTTTTTGTTTGATTGTTCACTCTTATGCCCTTAAGGGCCATGAGTTTTTGTTTATAAATAAATAAATAAAATTTTAAACGAAAATACCGGATACCAATGGACGAGCTTTTTCTTTTTTCTCTTTTTTTCAGACTCTGGTGATTTATATCATTATTTGATACCATGGACATGACTTTAACAGATCGCGCAACAAGACTGATAAACTATAGTATGGCCAATTTTATAGAATTACTGCAATCTGGTTAAAGCCATACTGTGTTTACAAAATATTGCTATTATTTTTAAAAGACAAACATCAGACGAAATGATAACTCTAGAAATCTTCGATAGTAGTATCACCCTTTTGATTATATATACTTTGGCATTCTTTAAATTATATTGAGAAAATATTTTTGTCAAATAAACTCGATTAAAAGAAAGTCCGCTTATATTTCATGTATTTAGGGTTCTTCATTATTCATTTAAAGAAGTAATTTATTGATAAAAATATACAATTGATTAATGGAGTTTTGTCAGTATATGTGATGTATTGCATTGTATTCTAAACTTGATTTGATTACTTTTTACCATAATTTAAGAATTAGAATATTTTTTTACAATTATTCTGATAAAACGGAGTGAGCAAATGATATGAAACATTTTCGCATCAAATGCAACATTAATTTCGAAAAGTAAAACTCGGAGGAGAGCCTTAAACTGCTGTGTCAGTTTCGGTATTTTTTGTCCGTTACTTACGCTCCCTTCGCAGCTCACTGACTACAAGAAAGTGAGCATAGTACGTGAAACATTCGGCCAGTGTGCAGGAGAGTAGCCGTCACTGATATGACTTTAATATAACTTTTATTACTATAAGTTATAGCCTTACCTGTTTAATAATGGGTAAAATCATGGATGTGGTCAGATTAAGCGATTTTTTTTATTCACCAGAGCCAGAAAAAAATGGTGAGAAATAAGCAAAAGCAAACAAAAAATGAAAAATGAATAAATAAAATGATGCGTTTGAATTTTTTTTCAATTTTCGGTCATGTTTTAGCGGATGTGAGTCATATATGGTATAAAGTCAAACCACATCCTATTCCTGCCATGAAGCCTTTAATAATTGCTCTAGATAAACTTAGACTTTATGTCACTGTCTAGGCCTTTATGTCTCTGGTGATACCCAATATGTCAAAGATAGAAAATAAAGTGAATAGAAATATTGAAACTTTTCATTTTCAATCACGATTGTCAACCTGGCCTCATTATCATAAGCAAACATTTTACCAATTGGGTACGTCTTGATTTGAGTGCGAAACACTCTAGGATAAATTTCCCTTTACTTTGTTTACATGTTCACCGTTTTGATTTGCACGTACGGAAATATTTTGTAATTATTTACTTCACTTGGCAAATATAAGTATGAATAACATTTTTAATTTGTTAAAATTGTTAATTTTGGTCACTTTTATCCATTACAATTATCTAGCACATGCCAAATGTATTTAAATTGAATGAAAAACTTTAAGCTGTAAAAGTATGTGGGTCGGGTATCTTAAACTTATCATTTTCATAGCGTTACGATGCTGTCCGGTAATCTTGCGCACCTAAGCACTTATCAGCTTATTTACTACGATTCAAATAAATACAAAAAACTCATAATTATTTTCCTATTTGCAAAAATCTTTAAGACATATAATGACAGAAATATTTTTTGGAAATAACTCATTGAACTTCAGGAGTGCAACAATGTAAACACTTACCACCATGTTTAATCCCAACATTTATTTGTCCGGTGATCTTGCGCATGTGTTATGAATGACGTCACGGTAGCTGATTTTTTAAAGTATGGTGTCCCAGTAATACTATCAATATAAATTTTGTGAGTCCAATTAATGAAAAGCTAATTTAAACTGTTCAAACTGTTCAAACAAAACTATAACACAAACTTATTTACATCAAGGGTTTGTTATTTTACTGTTCACTACTACACCTGGGACACCTGAAATCATCACTACCAGTCAATGTCTCAATTTCTGTACAGAATTTCAGATGCACCCATTGACTACACACAGTACAACACCAGTTAACAAATTCAATGCTCTTTTCTAGACCCTTTTACGCTTCCGTAGAAAAAAAATTGAAAAGCGCGGGAGGGGCCATTTTGACAAGATGGCGGGAATCGGCAGGAGATAACAACTGAACACACCTTAATTTGCAAAGGGAAAAAAGAAAATTTACAACATTTTATCGGTGCAATACTGCTTTAAAATGTGTGATATAGATTTATTTTTGCTGGACGTAAGATTTTGGAACTGGATGAATAGACCATGTACATAGACAGGAATATAATGGGGAAATAGGTCAGTGGGCGTGTTTATGAATAAATAATTAGGATGACGAAATAATGTAAACAAATATGTTTGACAGATATTTTTTTGAACTTTCTTAACTTGTTGTAGTTCAAAGTAAGACCAAGTCACAAATTTTGGCTGGAAATTTCTAGCGACAGCATAAACAAACAGCCAAACAAAAGGAAATGCCGAGTGCGCAAGATCACCGGCCGCGCAAGATCACCGGACATGACTGTAAATGATTCATAACATATTTTTACCAATAATCAAAATATTTTTTATTGAAAAAAAGGCATATAAATGAGACGTAATGTTATAAAATATCCAAGTCTAACTCTTTACGTATGATGAGATTTTGTAAGATTTACAGTTTAAATATATCTGCGAATAAACAACCAATCAACAGTTCAACTAGTTCTGGCTTCCATAACTTTATATGTCGCTTTTATTTTGATGTTGTGCGACAGTAACAACGAACTTGTAACTTGTTGAATAAACAAGGTGACATGCAATAAACAGATAATGGATAAAAGTGCTTTGTATAGGATCATCATGAATTAAGGACAGGAATTCTTGGAGAAAGTGGGTGAATTTATGGACCTTTATAAAAATGTGGTTTTTGAACCAGTAAAATGTTATGTTTTATTGCATGTTATATGTAAATGAGTTAAATAAATTATTACATGCTTTATTTGTTTCAGCTTTCTGAATTATTTACTAAACAAATTTTTACTCTTAAAAAAGTCTGTAAATTGACATTCATAATAATAAAGCAGTGATCTGCTCGATAAAACACTTAATAACAAGCCTTTAAAGTTTGTACCTTTTCGGACAATTTTCGTTTATGTATTTACATAGGTAAGCATTCTTATACTCAATGAAACACCCTATTGATAACTTTTTCGAATAGTCAAGCGTCGCTGTCCTCCGACTGTTCTTGTTTCTGTTATAAGACAATAATACATAAAAATTAAATGTTAAAATAATAAAGAATTTTGTTGTAAATAGTGGTACAATCATTCATACATCACTTGTATTCTTTTGTTTGAATAATGTATAAAAGTCAAATTAATGATTAAAATAATTTTATGATGGTAGGTAAAGTAATGGAAGAAGAAAATACTCCAAACAATGAAATGGAAGTTGACAGAGAAACAGGACATGATGGCTTTATATCCAGTGGTGATGAATTGGAGCCAGAACAACCAGCAGATCCAGTCGAATCCGTACAGCTTGTTATAGTCGATCCTCAGGCTCTGGTAAGATTATTGAAAAATGTCACAGGCTCATTAAAAAGTGCCGCCTGGCCTGGACTCGAACCTTGGACCCTTGGAATATCATGCTGCAGCTGTACCAGCTGAGCAAGCAAGCCCCTTACACATCTCTCCTTATTACTATATTAGTGAACAGTTCTATACATTGACATACTCCCTGGCAGCTAATGAGCTATATTAAATTTGTTATCAAATTTCTAACAGGAGCAGAAAATAATGTGGTATTAACTTTTTACCCCATGAGCATATTGTGAAAAATGGCAGTTTTCATTGAAAAGCCTCCTGTTACAAGTTCCAACTGCTATAAAACTATGAAAAATGCTTCAATACTGATGAAACCCAAGGCACATATGTTGACTAAACCATAACCTCCAGGGACATCTCAAAATTTCGAAAAATCACTATTTTGTATTGCTTTTTTCTATCAAAACTGATTTCAAAGTGCTGCAACTTCTAATTGCAATGAGATAGAGTAAAAGGCTTTTCAGCGTTAGTTACACATCACCTTAAGATCGACCTGAGGCCATTTTTAGCCTGTCACATTTCAAAAATTTTCTTGGTGATGAGGGGGACTACCGCCCCCCTTCAAACCTCCCAAACAGAAGGGAGCACATCCCCCTTCTGGCAACTCCCTGATCATTTTGATGGGGGGGGGGCGCCGAAAAAGTGGTCACTTTTTTTACAACATTTCTCAAACGCAAAACAGTGTTTGGTGCCTAAATAGGACATTTTTTCACTGGCCTCAAAGGGGGGGGGGGACAAAAAGCCGTCAAAACACGTCTATGTGAGGGAAAAGGTTAAAATACTCTGAACCATAATTATACAGTCACAGATCCAATTGCAATGTGTAGTTTGACTGGGTCTTGAACTCAGAACCATTGAAATACCATGATTTACAGCTGTACAGCTGCTTACACTTCTTTTCCACAATATGTGTAGTTTTATAGCAAGACAAAAATGAGCCGTGTCAGAACAAAACCAACATAGTCGTTTGCGACCAGCAAGGATCCAGACCAGTCTGCGCATCCGTGCAGTCTGATCAGGATCCATGCTGTTCGCTATCAGTTTCTCTACTTGTTATAGGGTTTGTAAGTGAACAGCATGGATCCTGATCAGACTGTGCGGATGCTCAGGCTGGTCTGGATCCATGCTGGTCGCAAACGCACTACCTTTTACTCACTACTCACTTACTCACTACTTTTGTCATGGTGCGGCTCAGATAATTTTTATTACGGATCTCTGAAGTAACATGTCTACAATTTTATGGTATTTGTAGACAATGAGTCTATATATTTTTGTGATTAAGAGAAATCGAGTAATTTTACAATGAATCTGCAAATTTTTACAGTCTTGAAGAATGAAAATCATGGAACTTGTATTATAATTCAAAACTTTAAGTCAATAAAGTTACTGATTATGATTTGTATGAATAAATTTTCCCGTTTTAAAACTTTCAAAGTCATTCAAAAAGGATGAAACTTACCATTACCAATTATATTTTAACAGTACAGTCGACATTGTATTAAGAGACCACTCAAGGGACTGCCAAAAAGTGGCCTCTTAATAAAGTGGTCTCTCAATAGAATTCTGGAAAATTCGAGACTTTTTATTACAAGTCATAGATATAATAACATCTTTTTTATAAAAACAAAAACTATACAATATTATGTATGTATTACCGTTTTATAATTACATTTATGCCTTTTTTTAAAAAAAAGTCATCAATATTGTTTGTTTTTGATTTTTAGTAGAAATTTGTGTACAAATGTGTTTTACGCTCATAATACTGTAAACAGGTCATTTTGACCATGATACAAAGCATATTGTCTTATATTTTTAATATGTTCATACACATCTCCTGCTGAACATACTTTAGAATCATCAGCCAGAGCTCCAGATAATTATTTATGCAATGAGTTTTAATAAACTTCTTGATTTTTTCAACAATTAGTTTTCACACTACCCCAATTTCAAATTCAATAAGATTTTTAGAGATCTAGGATTTTTTTTCCTTTTTTTGTCGAAGGGTCATATTTAATGGGATACTACATGTATTTTGTAAAGCATCAGATGAGCACCTACACCATCAGCAATGAAAGGCTCGGCTCTGTAATGTTTAGTCTACTAGGTTTCACGATTTTATTTCGACTACAATCGATGACATTTGCTATTTACTCAGACTCAATTCCATGCACAATTTCCTCATACAATTTATCCGGTCTTATTAGTTGTCTGTCTTTTTTTCGCTCGATCCGACATCATTTTTTTGGAGGATAGTGCAATTACAGATACAGACAGATGCCCCAATTCCAGAAGCTTCTCCTGGTTCTTTAACGTGCCAAGTGTTTAAGCACCCATACACGGGACCTCGATTTAAAGTCTCATCCGAAAGACTGATTAGTAATTTTAGTTGGCCAGCCCGGGAATCGAACCCACAATGTCGAGATTACAAGTCTCGCGCTCTAACCGATTGAGCTATGCGGGCTGGCACGATTGCAATTGTTATTCATTTCGTTTTTAAACGACAATTATTTGTGACCAATGACCATGAAAATTATTTGTTTGTTTGCTTGTACACATCTAACCTACTCGCTAATTACACAGGTGAGAATGCCCGCAGGGACGATTGTTTGTCACGGCCGTTTAATAGATACTTTAACACTTAATTTTGTACATTTGGGCCGACATTCAGTGGCCGCTGGCCGCGATATAAAATAGTCGTTTAATGGAATTAAATTAAATAGTAAAAATCATCGGGAGGGATTTTATGCGGCCGCTTAATAAAAAAGTCGCTTAATAAAGGTGGCCGCAAGTACGATGCCGACTATATGCTAATAGGCATTAGAATTTAAGAAACTATAGGCTATTTTTATGAATAACTTAAAGAAAAATCTTTGTTTGACAGGATGTGGATTTCAACCATGGACGCATTGCAAAAATAGAAAACCTTGAACGTCTTACACAAGTGGAGGTAATTATATGAAATTTGATTGGTTATTTGAAATCAGCTGACCTGAATTGATTAAACATGCTGGGGGAGGGGTTGGTGGGCTGCGTAATGCAAAGTTAAATTAGAAGTTTTTTATGTGTGGATTGTGAAATATGTAAATGGGAGATAAGTTTTCCTTGAAGCACATTTTTTTCAAAGATACTGCAGGGAATAAAAAAAATTCATGTAAATAAGACTTAAAAAGAAAACTGCATGATTTACAAGGGTTTTCCATGGGTATGGGGGAATCCACCCTTAAATGGCCCCTGCTATAAAAATAAAGAAAAAAACTTTCTTGGAAGGGTACATGTATGAATGTTAATGAACTCTTTAACTATATTTATAAAAAAGGTTTGACAATGACCACAAAAGCATGTAGATGAATTATGTTTGCTGTATGCATTTCTCATAGTTGTTGGTGCTTTAAGTAATGTGTATCTCTGTTTTATATATCCTCTCCCAAACTTTAAAAACAAATAACGCACTTGAAAAACTAAAGTAGCACTGTTTTTAGATATTTATGAAAGTGCTTAACTGTATAATTCCCCCCCACCCCTTCAAGAAACAAAAATTATTTGCAGATTAAAAACTGATAACGTTACTGGATATTGAGTATTCTGTATGTTTTAATGCAGCTTAACAGTAAAAATACTTAAACTTATAATTATTTATTTGAAAAGTAAAACTTTACTAACAATTAAATATTATGTATGTTGTTTTTGTTTTCAGAATTTGTGTTTAAGACAGAACCTGATAACTAAGATCGAAGGTCTGTCCACTTTGACAACTTTAGTGGATTTAGATTTATATGACAACCAGATCACAAAGGTAGAAAATCTTGATGCTCTAGTGAACTTGACGTAAGTTTTTACCATTGGAATTTTTCCTGTTCTTTTTTTCCTTAAATGTCAGATTCCTTGTTTAGACAGATTAGTGTGGTGCTCTTCTCACCATTCACCCTCCGTTGTGCATACATATTTTCTTATTTTTAGCTCACCTGTCACACAGTGACAGGGTGAGCTTTTGTGATCGCTTTTCGTCCGGCGTCCGTCCGTCCGTAAACTTTTACTTTAAATTACATCTCCTCATAAACCACTAAGCCAATTTCATCCAAACTTCACAGGAATGTTCCTTTGGTGGTCACCTTTAAAAATTGTTCAAAGAATTTAATTCCATGCAGAACTCTGGTTGCCATGGCAACCGAAAGAAAAAACTTTAAATATCTTCTTTTAAAAAACCGTAAGAGCTAGAGCTTAGATATTTGGCATGAAACATCTTCTAGTGAGTGTCTACCAAGTTTGTTCAAATAAAAGCCCTGGGGTCAAAATTGGCCCCGCCCCGGGGGGTCATTGATTTTCCCTATATACATATTGTAAAAACTTAAAAATCTTCTTTTAAAGAACAAAAAGAGCTACAGCTAAGATATTTAGAATGAAACATGTTCTAATGGGTGTCTACCAAGTTTGTTCAAATAAAAGCCCTGGGGTCAAAATTGGCCCCGCCCCGGGGGGTCATTGATTTTCTCTATATGCATATAGTAAAAACTTAAAAAATCTTCTTTTAAAGAACTCAAAGAGCTATGGCTAAGATATTTAGCATCAAACATGTTCTAATAGGTGTCTACCAAGTTTGTTCAAATAAAAGCCCTGGGGTCAAAATTGGCCCGCCCCGGGGGGTTAGTGATTTTCCCTATATGCATATAGTAAAAACTTAAAAAATCTTCTTTTAAAGAACCAAAAGAGTTAAAGCTAAGATATTTAGCATGAAACATGTTCTAATGAGTGTCTACCAAGTTTGTTCAAATAAAAGCCCTTGGGTCAAAATTGGCCCCGCCCCTGGGGGTCATTGATTTTCCCTATATACATATAGTAAAAACGTAAAAAATCTTCTTTTAAAAAACCAAAAGAGCTAGAGCTAAGATATTTAGCATCAAACATGTTCTAATGGGTGTCTACCAAGTTTGTTCAAATAAAAGCCCTGGGGTCAAAATTGGCCCCGCCCCGGGGGGTCATTGATTTTCCCTATATTCAAATAGTAAAAACTTAAAAAATCTTCTTTTAAAGAACTCAAAGAGCTATGGCTAAGATATTGAGCATCAAACATGTTCTAATAGGTGTCTACCAAGTTTGTTCAAATAAAAGCCCTGGGGTCAAAATTGGCCCCACCCCAGGGGGTCATTGATTTTCCCTAAATGCATATAGTAAAAACTTAAAAAATCTTCTTTTAAAGAACCAAAAGAGTTAAAGCTAAGATATTTAGCATGAAACATGTTCTAATAAGTGTCTACCAAGTTTGTTCAAATAAAAGCCCTGGGGTCAAAATTGGCCCCGCCCCGGGGGATTATTGATTTTCCCTATATGCATATAGTAAAAACTTAAAAAATCTTCTTTTAAAGAACTCAAAGAGCTATGGCTAAAATATTTAGCATCAAACATGTTCTAATAGGTGTTTACCAAGTTTGTTCAAATAAAAGCCCTGGGGTCAAAATTGGCACCGCCCGGGGGTCATTGATTTTCCTTATATGTGTATAGCAAAAACTTAAAAAATCTTCTTTGAAAAAACCCAAATAGCTAAAGTTAAGATATTAAGCATGAAACATCTTTTAGTGAGTGTCTACAAAGTTTGTTCAAATAAAAGACCTGGGGTCAAAATTGGCCCCGCCCCGGGGGTCATTGATTTTCTTTATATGTGTATAACAAAAACTTAAAAATCTTTTTTGAAAGAACCCAAATAGCTAGAGTTTAGATATTAAGCATGAAACATCTTCTAGTAAGTGTCTACAAAGTTTGTTCAAATAAAAGCCCTGGGGTCAAAACTGGTCCGGCCCCAGGGGTGTCATTGTTTTAAACTATATGTGTATAGTAAAAACTTTAAAAAAAAAATCTTCTTTTTAAAAAGCCCAATGAGCTAGAGCTTAGATGTTTAGCATGAAACATCTTCTTATGGGTGTCTACCGAGTTTGTGCAAATAAAAGCCCTTGGGTTAAATTGGCCCTGCAACGTTGGGGGTGGGTGGGGTTGGGGGGCCTATATACAGGTGAGCGACCTCAGGGCCATCATGGCCCTCTTGTTTAGTATACTTAAAGCTATTTTTTCGCTCATATGACTTTTCTTTTATGACTTTTCTATTTGTCTATATATAAACTTCAGCAAAGTTATTTGTCGACAAGGTAAAATTTTTCTACTCCAGCAATAGCAATTGATGTAATTACACATTACTTTTTGCATATTACAGGAGTTTAGACTTGTCGTTTAATCGATTTGGAAAGATAGAGAATTTGAATACCCTTGTAAACTTGAAAAAATTGTTTCTAATTCACAACAAGATAACAAAAATAGAAAATATAGATCATCTTACTCAACTAGAAATGTTAGAACTTGGTTCGAACAGAATAAGGGTATGTATATTTTTACTTATACAGTCTGCAATGCAAACAATTTTGTAGGAAATACTCGTAATAGCCTGATGAATATACACTTAAATATCTTTCTTTGATCATATCTAAGCAATAAATCTGCCTAACTGTTGTTGTTTTTTTCTTGGGTAACTAACCAGTAACCAACTTCTCAGCAAGTGGCCATCTACATATCCCACATGATTTCTTAATGTTGTGAGAGGCAAGCGATCATTAGGCTCAACATACTTGCCAAGGATTGAACTAACAACATTGTGATTATATTGTGATGCACTACCTAAGCAGACACACGTGTACTTTGAAAAAGACAGCATTTTTTATGTTCAGCCCAATAAAACATTAATTCACTAGTACAAATGTATTTATCAAATACATTGTTAAAGTGGTTTATATGATATGTTTGTATCTAAAGGTCAAGTTTTTTTCACAGTATCAAGATTTTACACAACAGGATTTGGTAATCTTTTTCACATGCAAAATAGTTAGCTCGATTAAAATAGTCCTGTTATACAATCCATAAATAATTATAGTACAAACGAGTGATTTAGTTATTTGTTAGTAATTTGTTATAGGAAAGAGTAGTCATAATTTTTTGAGAATGAAATCAATGTGATTTGTTTTACAGACAATTGAGAATATATCAACTCTGATTAACCTTACCAGTTTGTTCATTGGCAAGAATAAGATCAACAAGTTAAAAGGTCTAGAAACCCTGGTCAATCTACGAACACTTAGTATGCAGGTACTGTATTATATCTTGCTTGTTTTTCACATTTTTAGCTTGACTATTTATAGAGTAGGGAGAGCTTTTGTCCTCACCCTGGCATTGGTTGACAATCTTTGGATAGTGTTTGCATACATGTTGTTATCTCAAAAACTACTGAAGTGAATGTGTTGGAACTTCCCACTCTTGTTCTCTGTGATTATCTTACATGATGATCACAAGTCCAGTAACTCTGATATACCATTGTACAGAGTTATGCCCCTTATTTTACTGTCAAGCACTGAGAAGAGTTATGCCCGTTATCTTACTGTCAAGCATTGAGAATAGTCAGGTCTTACGTACAGCTGTTATTAAACAGGTGGAATGCAGGAAGTGAGATAGTGTTGAGATTTGTCAGTCTGAAACATATGTGTAAAGTTTATTGTAACCGTGATTTCCCTTGCTAGTGGGAAGTGAGCAGGCTTACCATTGACTGGAGCAGTGGCCTAATAGTTAAGGTGTCTGCCTCTTAACCCAGGGATCATGGGTTTGAGCCCTAATGGGGTCACAACCATGTTTCTTCATATGACACCACTACTGTTTGGTTCCAGGAAGCGGACTTGAAAGTGATTAATATAAGTTGTAAGAACTTGTTTCGGAATCAAGTTTAAGTAAATATGTTTAAACCAATCCAGGATAAAAGTTAGCTAAATTTCTACCTCCCGACTGCCTACAATCTGCCGGTTCAATGTTTTAGTTTTGTATTGTCACAGTAGAAGCAAGGGATATTTCTGACCTGTGTTGCATTTAGCAGGAAATTAACTATCTGACTGTCATATAAGGAAGCTATCCAGCTAGCATACAGAACATCTGTGGTTCTTCTCTTGTGCCTGTTAGTGCCTGAAATAATGCATGGAGGGGCACCTGAGGTCTTCCTCCACCAGTTTACCTGGAAAACTTGCAGTATGACCTGTACTGTGTTGGTGAGACCTTAAAACCCAACCAAAAGAATAGGAAAAAAACATTTGACTGTCCCTGCAAAGTTAGGATTTGAATTGATTTGAGTACATAACAGTCAAAGTCCTTGCTATTCTGCTACAGTTGTGGATAATAAGTGATTATATTACTGGTGCATTAGCTTCACCTGTTTTATGACTGACAAACTTAAGATGCTCGCAACGAAAAATTGTTGTTCTCATCTTTATACAATTTTTTACCATATGATATGTTATGTTAAATGTTTCATGGTGTAGATATAAATAAATATATCTCAGATTTTTTCACTGTTTTGTCTGATTTTTTAGACCAACAGAATAGTGAAATTGGAAGGACTGGATACACTGGTGAACCTAGAAGAACTCTACCTCGCAGATAATGGCATTGAGAAACTAGAAGGCTTGGATAAAAATGTAAGATACCTATATGAGCCGTGTCAGGACAAAACCAACATAGTGCGTTTGTGACCAGCATGGATCCAGACCAGATCCAGATCAGGATCCATGCTGTTCGCTTAACAACCTATTACAAGTTCAGATACTGATAGCGAACAACATGGGTCCTGATCAGACTGCGCGGATGCGCAGGCTGGTCTGGATCCATGCTGGTTGCAAACGCACTATGTTGGTTTTTGTCATGACACGCTCAATTATATATTTCCATAAGTTTTCATACGACTTGATATTGAATGTTGTAATATTTTAAAGATATGCTATGCTTAACTTGGAGTTAAATAATTCTATCACAAAAATTTATTGAATTTTTGAAATTCTTACTGAATATATCTAATTTGAATAAAACAATGTAAAAACTATGTTTTGGAAGCTGCATTCCATATTACAGGTCAAGTGAAGTTGGTCCTTTCCTTAAAAAAAACTGTCAGTTTTTTTTAATGACATTATGTATTCATATTGTGGCCTCCTATAGTGTGTAGAGTTTAAAACATAACATGTTTACTTTGTGTGAAGTCGAAGCATTTTGATTTTATATTTTCAAAGAGACAGTGTAGAAATTATCTATATTTTCAAATTTGTGTCTAGGATACATGTACCTTTCCGAGAAATGTAAATATTTCATTTCAAATGTACATCTGTATATATAGAATACAATAGTGATATGCTGATGACATATAAACAGTATAATAATACATGTGTTTTGCTAATTTACAGACAAAACTGAACACTCTAGATTTGGCTAACAACAGAATATCTCAGATAGAGAATCTTGACCATCTAGAGGAGCTGCAGGAATTCTGGGTAAATTTATAGATCTTTTCAATTTATATTTTTATGAAAAAATAATAATAGAAAAGCTGGACTTTCTTTTACAGTCTTTTTCATTGTGATTAGCTAATGTTAAAAATTTCATAATGTTGATTAAGACAAAGTTCTGTTTCTGGAGTAATAATTTGCTTAAGTGTAGTATACTATGTAAAAGAATGGATATAACTCCCTACAGTATTTGTGCATTACCTCCAGACACGTGAAAAAAATCACGATCACAAAATAGAAAAATATCACTTTGTACACCGATTTTTACATTCATTATTATATAAAAATCTGTGTGAAGTGGTGAATTAAGCATGTTAAAGTGCATTTTGGTGGGTAAAATGGCCAGATCTTAGCTTCGTATCATTTACGGGCCTAATCTGTTATATACCGGAATATGTCATTTAGGTGGTGCTCAAACCTCCAACTCATTTTTTAATCTCACTAAGGAGTGTTTCAAGGCTTTCAGTATGTCTGTTTATCTAGTGTTTTACATGAAAAATTACACATTTTAACAGAAAGATTCAGTCAATTTGGTACATGTTTTAAGTTATATTTAGTTAGGTAAATATGTTATTAATGAAATACAACATATTGAAACTGTTACCAAAAAAAAGGCTTGAACTTACAATCCCTGGGTAGAGAGTTAAGAAACAGGCATGTGGACCACTAAGCCACTACCCCTGCTAAATAAATGTTTAGTTTCTGTCATATATATTCTCAAAACCATTATAACATTTTCAGTTTAATGATAACAAAGTGAGTGCATGGAAGGAAATAGAGTCGTTAGTTCCTCTGAAAAAGTTAGAGACAGTCTACCTGGAGAGAAACCCAATTTATTACGACGCTGGCGACAAGTTGAAGGCTGATCCAAGTTATAGGAGGAAAATCAAGCTTACGCTGCCATGGATTAAGCAAATAGATGCAACCATGGCACAGAGCATGGTGGGCTGAAATATTGACAAGTGTCTTAAACAGTGTCGAGTGTGTTGTTTTTAGTATTGAATATAGTTTTATTTTAATATAGTTTCTTACAAGTTCACTAGCATCATTGATAGACTGGATGCATTAACATTTCAGACTTGTTTAAAAGTCATTATCAGGAAATATGACATAAAAATGCTGTCTTTGTAGCAGGTTGAAGGATAAATAATATTGTCTTGCAGTTTGGTATCCTTATATATTTACCATGACAGCAGTTTAGAGGGAAATGTTTCCTTTACAGTTTAAGATACCTGATGTATTTTCATAATGAAAAAAAAAACTAACTTCTGTGATGTTGAATTATTGATATTGTAAATTTGACTTATTTAACTGCTGATTTCAGCATTTACTTTAACATTTTAATAAAATTGAATATTTTGTTACTCCCAGGCCCAATAGGTATCCCATATGTCAGAATAGAAACTCTTTTCATTATCTGTTATCATTTTTTTCCCAGTCATAGAGTCATGTAAGATTTAAAATATGTTAGTTTTTCCTATTGTTTATTGAAAAGTTCGTTGAATTTGCCAAGTACATTTATTATTACATAATAAATACAATTAATTCATGTCCGCAGTACCAGTATTTCTTAACAGTGATTTTTTTCTCCATAATCTATGTTTTATTAGTCAGTTCTTATCCCAATAACCTCCAAAATGGACCCTAAAAATTGCACTGTGCAGTCTGATCAGGATCCATACTGTTCGCTATCAGTTTCTTTACTTGTTATATGGTCTGTAAGCGAACAGCATGGATCCTGATCAGACTGCGCTGGTCGCAAACCCATTATGTTGGTTTTGTCATGACACGGCTCATTTGTATACACTAAATTGTAATTCATAAATCATAACTTTAATGTCAGTTGTATAATACATTTGATTTAATCAACAAATAATTGTTCCTGTATTTTGTTATGAATGCATGTATAATTTTTAGCGTGAGTGCCATAAAAGATGTAGAAAATTTGTTTTCTTATTTATTAATAAGGGTTCCCGGATTCCCTTGTATCTTAAAGCTGTTTCTTAAATGTATACAATGTATACCTGCCTGTAACACTCGTAAGAGGGGTTGGCAGTATCCAGAGATAGATAGATAGATATTAAACCTTTAATTTTACCTGACCTATTTCTATACATGCTTAAAACTGATTTTGTGCCAAAATCTTTTGCTTCAATTTTTTTTTAGTTTATTAACTGGCAATGAACTAAGTAGCAAAAAATGAATAATGTTATTTTATGTGAATTGATTATTTATTTGTTACATCAGTAATCCTTCACTAAAATCTTGAAATCTTTACTCAAGTTCAATTATTTCATAAAAAAAAACTTGTTCATAGAAAATTTTATCAACACTATTATTACAAGTATTCAAATTTTCATTTTAGTATGGAATATATTATTCTCACATAAATATTGATATTTAATTTTATTCAGGTCGAGATTTTGATATTTTCATATGGAGTGTTCAGTCAAAATTTTGTTTGTAGAATCATTTTTTGTTTGTTCTAGCAAATTTTTCTCATCGCTACATAGTCTTTATAACTAGATGATTCAATATTGAAAATTCTCACATGAAAAAGTGTTGATTTCTTAAACGAAGGTAAACATTAAAATGTTTTCTTAATTTTTAGTGTTTTATAAAAAATGAAATTTATTTCATGTATCAAACACAAAGTCAAAATAAAAATCAGTCTGTTTGAAATATTTTTGGTGCTCTATTTCAGTGGAAACGAAATAATTTTCAAACATTTCACACAAGTTTTTTTTATTTTTTTCTTGTGAAATATAATGCATAAAAAAGAACTGTATATGATGGTTAGACCCAGGTGAAAGATTTAGTTGCAAATAATCATATTGCCTGACACTAGAGATTAATTTTACCAGGAAGTATATGAAAGCTTAAATTAGAAGCTTAGCAGTATATGATCCATAATTTAGCTTGGCATTATCATTTATAGGTTGATTTTCACCGTTTTGTTTAAAGGGACTCCACTCAGGTTTTTTTTACATGACAGGACTGGAAATAATTTTTTCAAGATAAATGTTCCATTTGATGCAGGTCTAGAGACCAATATAAACTTGTGAGCAAATTTCAGACCATTCACGTTCTCCTTTTTTTCAGAATAAATACAGAATGATAAAGAATAAATGTATTTTAATTGTGAAAAATGACCAAAAATTGGAAACCCTTGCAATGATTTTTACTCAAATTGGATGAAGAATAGCAGAAATATATAATTTTCAATATATAATTCGTAATCATTTTTTGCATACAGTATCTTTTTTTATCTATTTTTTTTTCTTTTTTGATTTTAGACCTCAGTGGAGTTCCTTTAACATTGCAACATATTTGTTGTATCTCACTGATGTAACCAAGCACTGTATTAAATATATCGGAACAAAATGTAAAACAGAATAATTATTGTATTTGCTTGAAAAAATTGTTGTATCAAATATGTTTTTGTTACGGTTTACTACTACATGTATTTTGTTAATGAGAAAAGTGCTAAACATTCATTTACATATCCAACAACTTGCTGTTCCATTTATGAACTCATGTATTATCAACTCGTGTAAATAAACTTTTAGAATTGATAAATTGTTTTTGTTAAATAGCTCGATCATTTGAAGAATATGGAGAAAATACTTACCCAGGCGTTGGCGTTTTTTTTGGTTTTCTTTTTGTGTTGAAGTTAGTATCTCCAAAACAACTGAAGGGAATGGGTTGAAACTTTACACACGTAGTTGTAAGCTTAATAGGCAGTAAATGTAAGGCCCGTTACTGGCATTTTTTGAATTTAGAAAATTCTACATTATCCAGACTCTTATTTTACTATCAAACACTGAGAATCGTCGAGCACGCTAGTGCAACAGGCAGCTCTTGTGCTGTATTGTCTTGGGCTGTTTTAGTCTCCATTGTTGAAACAAATGGATGGCCATGGCAAAAGGAATGAGCCCATCATGGCAAAACCAACATAGTGCTTTTACGACTAGCATGGATCCAGACAAGCCTGCGCAGTCTGATCAGGATCCATGCTTCTCACTTGCCAACCCTACTACAAAAAGAGAAACTTATAGCAAACAGCATGGATCCTGATCAGACTGCACGGATGCGCAGGCTGGTCTGGATCCATGCTGGTTGCAAACGCACTATGTTGGTTTTGTCATGACGCGGCTCAAATGAATTCATAGAGAGAAAACTAAACGTTTGAATGTTGGATACCTTTAAAATGCTCCAGTCTAAAAGCCTAAAATTTGATTTTTTATATCGATTGAATGGGACACTTAAAACGGAAAAGTCTGTGAATTATAATAAAGAAATAAACCCTCAACTAAATTGAAAATCGATATTTTGTGCGGTTCTAAGCTTGATACGAGTTAAAAGCGTTTAAACGCTTTTATTTAAGGGTCAATTTGCACAATTTAAATGATAATTCTCGAGAACAGAGTGAGATAATTATCAGAATTTTTACACATATATTATTAGTATAAACATTTATAAAATGATATGAAATTTTCTTTGAAATATTTTCAACATCGTCCTGTCAAAAAAAAATCTTAAAACAACGTCTCTGAAGCCACAAGGTAGAGTTTGAGAAGTGCTAAAAAAGACTTTAAAAATGATCTCCTCAAACTATAATATCAAGAACTTATATACTTTGCAGGAAGCACCATCGTGTGGTTCTCTACAAAAGTTATATAAATATGCCCATTTGGCTCAAAATTAACCCGCTCTGAAGGTCACTTACTTTATACAGATTTAAAAAGGAAAACCCATGTGAAACTATAATGCACAGAGCCTAGATATTTGACCGCATTGTCTTGTAGGCGTCTACAGAAGTTGAAGAAATCATATCCCGAGAGTCAAAATAGCTTAACCTTAGGGGCCGAAGTTTACATAGACTTGTTTGCTTGTTCTCCTTTACGAAAACCCCCAAAGAGCATAGAAATTTTGCAGGGGTTTCTTGGGGCCCCTTGAAACACAATTTATTATAGACGAGGCCCTTTTCAAATTTTTAAAAAGAATGACGGGGTTTTCCTTACTTTTGGGTTTAAAAAAATTTGCCCCTTTTTGTAGAAATTTGGTTTCTCAGGTAAATGACAAAAGGGCCATCAAGGTACCATTGGCTACATCTTAAAATCTGTAGCTGCTGCCATTGCATTCATCATTTGAGCCGCAAAAAACCAACATAATGGGTTTGCGACCAGCATGGATCCAGACCAGCCTGCGCATCCGCGCAGTCTGATCAGGATCCATGCTGTTCGCTTTTAAACCTTTTAACAAGTAAAGAAACTGATAGCGAACAGCATGGATCCTGATCAGGCTGCGCGGATGCGCAGGCCGGTCTGGATCCATGCTGGTCGCAAACGCACTATGTTGGTTTTGTCGTGACGCGGCTCATTTGTCTATTTAACATTTGAACGATTTCTTTAGATACTCCAGTTTGATCTATACCATTTTTCTTCCTTCTAAGGGATTGAAATACAATTTAAATTCATATTTTTTGTCCAGCTGTTATTTAAAAATATGTTCATTGACCTTTTCAATATAAAAGTGCTAGAATTAGCAACACGCAGCCCAGGATAATGTCACATCGTATTGAGGCATAGAAACAATAACTTTAATGATCTCAGTGTTGAACACCACTTTTTATTATCCTATAAATTTATGTCACAATTCGGACCAGCCCTCATATATGTATGAAAATTCCGTACGAATATGTCAGATTCACAGATTTATGAACATTTCGTTCTTTCCCGTCATGAATAGTAGAAAACAGTTTTAAATATATACTTTATATAGTTCACAAGACAATGATCCTCACTACCACATATATAGTGCTATATATAGATGTCATTTGGTTTTAGGTCAAAATATCCAACAATTCCTTCTATTAACATACGAGTCTTTTAATCTAGTACCTCAAGATCGAATAGTACATTACATGGTAGATAGATAAAGTATGCGGAAAATATATCCAATATCCTATTTTTTACGAAGAAACACACAATTTGTGTGTAAAACACTTAGACCCTAACACAATATAACACAACATCCATGGAAAAGGAAATGGTTCTCATATTCGGAGACTGGATGGTCGATCGTTTTGATAACTTGGTTACATATAATAAGATTTCAAGTATTACAATAGACGAATTAGTGTTTTATGAGCACCATGTTTAAGTTTAGTTCAAATGAAGTTCAGGTTATTATCTTTAATAGGTCTTTATCTTTAGTAGGCTAGCAGTTTAATGGAATCTAAAATCCTCATTAAAATCTTCATATAATGAAGCTTCTTATGTTAATTAGTTAGTCGGAAGTTATTGAAAATGTCATTGCCTAGAACATTCGTTCAAATAGCAATTCCTCAAAGAAAGTAATGTAAACATTGTCTGTTTGTAAAGAAAAATAACCGAGATCATTTTACATTATACAAATGTTATTTCAGCCCGATTTTGAACTACGAAGTAATTTATAAGCTTACTGACAAACGAGTCCGTTCCCTGAAACCATCTAGAATAGTTTCTTGTTCTAGGGAACAACGGCCGGTCCCTAAAGGGGTCTATACCCACGGGGCTAGCGATCCTCTCAACCACTCGGCCATGCAGCGAAATACATCTTAATTTGGTTTATTATCTTGAAAAGCTCAAACATTTTAAATCATTAAGTACGTAAATTCTTGTGGTATTTAATGATACATTCATAGTGATAATTTAAAAATTACAACCATTAATGAAACATTTCCATTATAACAAAAGGACAACAATTTTCCCTTATAAGTTAGAAGTGCACACTGCTAAAGGTCACATAACGACTTGCCAGACTTCAGATGCCTCTTCTTGCATTATTAAGGGCAGCTAATTTGGCGTCATTGACCTTATCCACTTGACCAGGGCGACTATTTGTAAGTAATTAATAACTATCTCGACCAGAGCGACTATTTGTAAGTAACAAATAACTACACGTATCTTTATCAACCTCCAAATTGTTTCCAGGGTGATTTTATTTGTATGTAAGAATCCCAGTGACTCGGGATTTGAACTCATTGTAACCAAATTTGATGTCACTGGTTTCGAAGGGTTAGGCGGTATCATTTAAATTCTTTATTACAATAAATCAACAAAGCCAGTATTAATTTTACGTATATTTTTATTGAAATATTTTCATTTTTACAATAACAAACATAACAAGTAGTTTCATAATGTCCACAAAAAAATCTCAAAACATGATTTTCAATCCTGATCCTTCACACGAACATAGCATTTTTTATAATACGTTAAAATGACAAACTACTTAATGAATGGGATCAGAAAAAAGCATTACCCTTTTTCTCAAAAACATTTTTATTGTTTTTTATAATGCAGAAATGCTTTCCTTTTTTTCTAATTTTTTATCTACATGAATCTTAATAATGACAAAAATTATTAGTACCGCGAGTGAATGCAAATCAAAAGAACGTAGAAAAATAAACCCATTTGTACAATTGAAAAAAGCCCACACGATTCTACAATCCAAAAACGTTTTTAAGTAGAAATCAGCACTTAAAATTATAAAATCGTGAACCCAAATACATACGTAAAAGCAAGACATTGTCACATTTTCGCACTTACATAAAAATTAACTGTTAATGGAAATAAAGAAGTTTCCTTACAATTCACAATTTCTTCCATCTAAGATCTATAAATAAACAATCACAAAACAATCGGAGAATTCGGGAAACTTTTCTTTACATTTTATGTTCAATATATAAATAAATGATAATAAAACTATTAACGGAATTCAGACATCATTCCATATACTTCATATTGTATTTATAAATTAGAGATACAATTGTATAAATAATTATACATAAATAGGGGAATCACTTTAAGAATATATTGTATCTCTATGAAACGCATCAAGACTCATTTTGGCATCTATATCATCAATTTAATAACAATACATTTGTAAACAACATTTTTGAACTAAGACAAAACTTGCAATATCGTACCAGTCAAACATATTAAATACCCATGTAGTGCCAGTCTAACAGTCAACTGCAAGCACATTTTTATTCATGCACGTTTAAACACATGAAAAATTCTCCCTCACATTGATTACCTCCCTTGGCAGACTGTACTGATAAGGGGATTTCACTGCGTAGGAGATTGTCTGATCATACAGGTACTATTCAGATCAAATCTGTAGTTTTTTTAACAAAAACGTTTCAAACAATACAACAATGTAGGGACGATTCATGAGACTTAATATAATAACATGAATGTTGCTGATGAAAACTTTGTTGTTGATTATGGAAATAAGGTTGATAATACAAATGCTGAAGATGATAATGATGTTGATGAAAACTTTAATAGTGATGATGTTGATAATATTTATGCTGAAAAATGACAATGATGTTGATGATTTTTGTCATGTTATTGATAAAGATGATTACAACGAAGATAGTTATATTGATGATGAACATATTGTAAATGATTATAATGTAACCGATGATGATATCAATGTATTAATATTTGATATCGGTGATGACTGTAACGTGAATAAAGAGAGAAATGCAATTGTGTTCATGATGATGATGCTGATGAAAAAATGGTGACTGAAATAATCTATTATCAAAGTTTAAATAAATACCCCTACATCAGAATTCATCGACCAATATGAAAGTGTAGTAGCAAATATATACAAGCTATGACATAGAAAAAAAAACTTGTCAGTAAGATAAGAATATTCAAATTACGTTAAACATACATGCATGTTAGTGTAATTCTTCAAATGTTGTGTTTCCTATGCATCTACTATGTCCCGATAATCTTTGTCTGTATGAATACTCAATAAAAAATATGACATGTAATATGTGAAAACCAAATCGCCTAAAAACCCATGACAATAAACTGAAAGACAAATTCATTGACTGAAGCTTTCACAAGCTTTCTATTCTCACATTAGAAATGTTCCGTGCTGTACATGAACCTGGTTGTATTCCTGGTAAATTATGAAATCAACATGACATTGACAACGTGAATATGTCCAAGAAATGGAATGACAATGGCCTCGTTCATACAGAAATATCACGTGACCGCCACACAGAATAATCTAAATACTATTCACACACAGGGAAAGCAGGCCAGAAGATCGGTATATTACAGCAATTTTGGACACAGTGTCACATGAACCACGTGCTGTGTAAAATCGACCTGCTTACAGAGTGTTCGAATTCTTGAATGATCTCGTCTATTTCATTGTCCAAATCTTCAAAATTTTCCGGGAAACTAAAATATTTTTAAAGGAAAAAAAAATGTCGTTAAATAACCAAAATTTCATGTAGATTTCTCCCAAGGGTTAATAATTCCCCCTGTCTTATTTCTATATTTAAATAAAAAGTCCATTACTAAAAAATCGGGTTTTTAAACCCTTTTAAAAAAATGTGAATACTCGACACGGGGGGACAAAATTTAAATTAAAAAAAAGTCTTGTCCCTTTAAAATTCTTAAAATAGTAAACTTAAAAACGCCGGGACTCCCCACCCTTATTTACGCAAAACCCGTGCCCTGTGTATTGACTCATGGGGGCTATCAAAGACGAAATACCGGGGAAAAAAGGAAAACCCTAAAAAAATGCAAAAGGTAAAATTTGAAACCGAAAAAAGACAGGAGCATTATAGAAATATAGCTAAAGGAGGGCCAATGTATAATATATTATAGTTATAAATACTAACAGTGGTCACCAGATCTTTGATTATAAAAGCCCCAATCGTAGCCTCCTCGTGATTATCCTGTATGTCTATGTTGATTATATGTACTGGGTTCGCACATTCTGATTTTTCTCGCGAATCCAAATCTACAAATTAATCATAAATTACTAGTAATAAAGGTTAATAAGCGTCATTCATGTTAACATAATTATGATCTATTTCATTGTCAAGAATAATTCAAATAATAGAGCGTCTCATTTTTCCTTAGCTAAACATAGGAATGTGCACACATAACTATATGTATATAAGCTGTATTTGTCTTCTACACATCTACTATGATAATTAAATCAAATTAATTCATGCCTATAGAAACCAGTTTTAATCCATTATATAAGATTCTTGAAGGTGAAATAACTTAATATTTTCAGAAAACATTGCTTTATTTTTAGCAATAATAGAATTTCCATTGCCACAGGGCACTCAAAAAACTCAGTTTGTCCAAATCGGTTAATATTTTAATAATTTTCATTTTTGAAAAAAATAATGTACATGTTGATAGATTGACAGCGTCTAGAATAAGTACCTTCTAAGATTTGATCATATACCCTCTCCTCACACGATACAATTAGGTCGAAATGTTCCTTGCAGGACTGGAATCTCTGAGGCTTGGACTTTATTCGTCGGTTTCTGTCCAGCATGTGTAAAATACCATTCTGTGTATATCTGAGCATGATGGTTAAGGATCGTTTTCTTTTTATCTTTTATATGCCTTACCTATTTTATACATGCATAACAATGCTACATTTTTATATATGAATCAATACAGCTACACTATCAATAAATATGAATTTGCATTGACGACAGATAACAGAGAGACCATATGAAATTCAACAAACGTGTTGTATATAAAAATAGACCCGGACAATCAGCGCTAGTTGCAGGTAATTTACATCGTTTTCATTTCATTAACAAAACCCCTTCAAGATATATTTACATGTGTACAGAACTGACTGTATTCAAGATGATATTATTTTTATTGTATTGTACTTCAACTTAGAAATCATTTATCCGGAAGTTAATGAACGGAGAGCATTCACTTCCGGTAACATTACAATAATAGTTCCCCTTGTTCTCTTAAACTATTAGCAAATGTCTTACATTTAAATAGCTATCGAAATCAAGTGAATATTGTAACTAAAAATATTCAAATTAACTTAAACGATGAAAAACTCCTTACATACACGTTACCGAATTTGTGACGTTCTACTTCTTAATTAATGTGGAAAGGGCTGTTATATCATAAATATTTATATTGGTAGTATTTAATATCATGCGCAACAACAAACCACAAAAGAATGTTGTTGATAAATGAGAGAAAATATTATCAATATTGCATATCTATACATACTATATTACATAAAATTTATTATTCTAGAACAAATTACTATTACTCATCATAAAATTTTCTGTACTAAAACATTTAAAACTAAAGATATCAACATTTTTAATAAATAAATATTATAATAAGGAAACCAAAATGATACATTTCTATATTGTTTTATCAATATTTGAAATACTCAAGGCATGTATGTGCATGACGGTTTACACGTTAAACCTACTGGAGTTCCGACGATGAAAATGAAAGTAGGAACATGCTCTTATATAACCTGCGGTTGTATTCGCGGTCAAGCTGAGTGAATACACCATTGCATAAGCACTTTGATTTTACCAACATATGTGTTTAATTACCACTCAAAGAAAAGCATGACGTTAATTCTTTCTAATTGCCGGCGTTGCGACCTCTGAATAGCTAGATAGAAAAAGAATCCAGACATTCAGTGAACAAAACAGTGAAGACCAACAATAAACTGTATTAAAATACAGAGATGGTTTAAGAGAAAATCTTACTCAGAATTTTATCAGAAAGAGAATATCGAATTTACAGGATTTACCATTATTTTTTTTACAGTTAAGTCGGTTGTTTATACCTCGTGATACTACATAATCGTGATGATGACAAATTTGATGTAGACTGAAATATTTTTAGTAGTACGAATATATAAATAGTACGAATAGATAAACTATGTACTCCAGTTAGAGCCATTTTAAATGTAATATGCTGTTGCAAGGTCAACTTTATGCCAAATGCAGCGACACAAGGCGCTATGCTTGAATTGTTATATTAAAATGAAACTTTTATGTCCTTCCTTAGATCACGACATTTTGACTTTATAAAACTGTCGCAAGGTCATATCTACACTATTGCACGGGATATTTTTGGTTGTGTTTTAAGTTGCACCATCACAGTAAAGGTCACATGGTCGACTTCCCAGCTTTACTGGTGCAGGAAGACCTAGTGTTCTTGCAGGCACGAACGGGCACCTTTGCAGAACATACTAGTTATTGTAGAACATGCCGCGTTGCAATGTCATACTTTCTGAAGTAAACCTCGTACAAACGGATTGGCACTTATCAGATTCCGTAGTAAAGGAAGGTGGACCTAAAAGCCCCATATCTTTTGTGAAGGTTGAATGACATTTGAAATAATGATGGTGTACAACATAAGATTTAGTACTAAAACGGAATCTTGTACGTCAAGTACATATTTAAAACTGCTGCTTCTTTTCATGTAACAATAGTTGATTGCAGATAAATAAATTTTCTGTAGTCTGATCTACCTATATTTGTGAATACAACGTAACAGCTTATCGGGGGTCATGAAATTGCTATTGGAATAAATTGTATCGAATATAAAACTAACGAAACGCTTTACTTCCTTAATCACTTATATTGTGTGACAATAAAACTTGACAGAAAACGACTGCGCCAGTGTGCAGTCAAGATTTAAAATCGAGTAAAACAAAACAGCATGCAATACCTTTTGCTTATAACACTAACCTGCAAACGCTCACCTGATAATTCTGTCAACATAAAAAGCAGGAGTTATAGGTAAAACATTTCTGTTAAATTTACATCATTTACCTAAATACTGGGTATCAAATAAGATACATGAAGGTGCAATGGACATTTGGATGTTATTTTTAGGAAAGTATCATCAAATTATTGTTTTTATATACTCTTAACATGTCGCTTTTTAAAAACAAAGTTAGTATTACGACTTAATAATATAATTGTTCAGAAAGGTGTATATTAGTACCATCAAACGCTTACAATTAGCATTTTCTCATGAAACATGGGAGAACGTATTAATTGAAACAAATACATATAATGTAGATTGAAACTTCCGTTCATTGCTCAATTGCATATACTCGTTCATTACATTCAGTTTATTGACTTTTGATTTTATGGTGTTGTTAGAAACTAAAACACTTCAAATAGACAATACGGCATTTAAAAAAATGTTAGGATAGAATTCTAATTTTAGTTCTAAATTAACTGTTCATGTGCATAAGGTGAATATTACCTCCCTTAAATGCAATTTAGTTATTCATAAGTTATTTTTACATAATTGGTCCAGTCTGTGTTCAGAGAACGGAAATTTTAGCATAAACATTCCTCCCCTAAACGTTCAGAAATAACATTCAAGTTTTGAAATAAAACATTCAAGTTTTGAAATAATAATCGCTTATTTTCACTTACAATAATTCGCTCTCTTTTAACGACACTTTTTGTACATGTATGAAGAGGGTCAATCCGTGCGTACAAAAGTAGTTTTCGATATCTATATAACTTCCTTATTTTTATTTTAAATGATAATCAGTAACATAAACCGAACGTCTAAGAAGAGTTTCAACATCCGGATGGTTTGACAGGGTTTTAACTTCCTTTGACGGAACTACTATTCTTAAAAAAAAATACCACAATGGTTAACACTAGAACCATTGTTTCTCCCAATTTTGACAGAAACATAAGCTTAAATTTTTTTGTTGGTTTATAGGTGTACCACTCCTATTAGATTTTGGAATTCCTTGAGTCTAGTTTAATCTGCTTAATTTTCCAACGAGGTCAGACTTAAACGAAACTTAAAAATTCCAATGTTAAGAAACAGTTTCTGGATACCCCTAGTAACTGAAAACGGCATTGCAATACCTTGTTTACTACAAGAGTACTTTTATACCCTAATTTTAGCGGGGATTTAATCCATTACGGTGAATGGTAATTCAATTCGTTTTATTGCACTGCTATCTTGTTAGATGGAAAATATTCAACATCGAAAAGGTTAATATGTGCTTAATTCAGTAAAGGAACAGCACTTTAAAATTGGTTAACAGTTACTTAACGTTGTTAAAACATTTTGTTTCGGTCAATTTCACACAGGAAAGGGAGAGTAGTACAGGAAAAAGGTAGACATGCAGTTGTTTTTTTTTCCAACTTTTCCACGACAATGGGCCGATAAAATTGTCAGAATCATACCATTTGAAATAAATGTGTAAAGTATGAAGAAACTTGGATCCTCTGCAAATTAAGATATATAACGGACTACAAAAAAATGGATATTCATACCAATTTCATTATAATAGCGGAGATATCATACAATCGTACTACACAAGGGAAATAACTGGAAAATTGAATGATAATGACCTTTGCTTTAATGAGTATAATAATTATGAAGTCATTGGTTCAAGAACTCGAAATTGCTGAAATAGAGCGGCATCACTAGATTTGGGCTTAATATCCACGTCAGGGCACTATAAGTTCGGAGGCTAGTATACAGTATAGTTAAGTGTCCATGCACTTTGGCTAAATTTCATTCATTATTTTCCGTTAAAGAAAAGAAGAACGAGATGGTGAAACATGACCTGTGAATAAAATGTTAACACAAGCTTTGATTTTCGAGGTATCTGAAGTGGTCGTAGCATAAACCAAACATTGGTTCAAACATTATAAACGCGTGCAAGAGGTGTTATTTCTATTAGTCAGCAACTTGATAAGGAGCCGAAGAAGAAATACAGGGTTTGAACAAGAAATCGTTAATTAACAGTAATGAGCGATTCGCAAATGTCCCCAAGGAGATCAACCTACAATGAGGGCTAAATAAATTAAGTTGCAGCTTGCACAAATCAGTAGGTGTTAATAAAATGATTCGTTATTTTAGAAGTGCAAAACAAGATCACCAACAGTATCCATGTTTTCTGATCATAAACTGCACTGTTCCATCATTTTAATTCCAATTATGAAATTTTGAATTCATTTTCCTTCTCCTTGATGAAAGGTTTTATCCAGAATGAAAGCTAAGATACTAAACGTAATAAGGACTGATTCATTAAACTGCTATATATGCATTTATTTTAACAATGTTTACCTTTATTAAAGGCAACATTTATGTTTATGTAGAATGTAGCGCTTATCCAGGTGACGGAAAGAATTTAGACGGGGATATACATTCATCTAAAGATTCTTGCCAATTTTCATGAAAAATTTTGACATAAAAAGAAAGTTATTTACCCATTGCAAATGGCACTCGATAACAATCCACGTAAATTACCAGAGGTCAAAATATACGAAAAAAAGCCCTTCCTGCAATAGGCATCCGGTATTTATATCGTGATAGTCATGTAAATTATTTCTTGAATCCTTTTACTTTTCTTAAAATCAAATTTGATTTTCTTGCAATAGTTTGACCGATTTGGAGGCATGCATCTTTAAAGTTTGGGCTTTCAAACAAATGATATACCATTAAACCAGGAATTTTACCCATGGATTTTGTGTTGGTTTTGTAGTAAATTTGAACATGGGTAAATTGCATTTAAAAGAATTTTCCC